CAATGACCTTTGTGATGCATAATTGAACAGATGCTCTCCAATAGTCATTGTTACATGGTCCCTCTTCGGCATGGGGAAACAGTAATCACCTTCTTTCCTGAAACTTCAGTTTTTCTCTTGGCTCTATGACACATGCTTTCCTAGGTTTTGTTTATCCCTCTCTGGCTACTCTCTCAATCATTTTTCCTATTTTCTCCTTCTCTGCCCACCCTCTGCTTATGTTAAGGGCGCTCTCTCTCTCTCTCTCTCTCTCTCTCTCTCTCTCTCTCTCTCTCTCTCTCTCTCTCTCTCTTCCTTTACATTCTCTCCCTTAGCAATGGCATCAATTTCTGTGACTTTAAACACTACACACACTCACTACATGGCATACTATAATATCTCTATATATCTTTGTATATAATCTCTCTCTCTCTCTCTCTCTCTCTCTCTCTCACACACACACACACACACACACACACACACACACCCAAACACACACACACACATGCACTTTTCAATTTTTCTTCCTAGCTCCAGTCTTGAATATTCAAATGCCTACGTAAAAAGGGCACCCACAATGTCAACCACAATACCACTCGATTCAAACTGAACTACTAACCTTTCTTCATTCTATACTTCTGTGATCTGCTCCTGTTCCAATAGTAATCCAACCACTTACTTTTGAAAAAACTTCAGAACCATCCTTATCTACCCTTTCTCTAAGTGGTAGAAGGGATATCCCCATCACCACACATACACATTCATGTGTTGAAACCTTAATGTAGAGGCATTTGGAGGTGAGATATTTGGAAATTAGGTCACTAGGGTGAAGCCTTCATGAATGGGATTAAGACCTTTACAAAATAGACTTCTAAGAATCCCTTGTCCCTTTCACCATGTGAGACATGTGAAAAGATGGTCTCCTATGAAGTAGGAAGGGGGTTCTCAAAAGCCAGTGAAGCTGTCGGTGCTTTGAATCCAGACTTCTCAAGCTCCAGAACTGTGCAAAATAAATTTCCATTGCTTATAAGGTGCCCAGTTTATGGTATTTTGTTATAGCCGTCCTGAAAGACTAAGATACCACATTTAATCCATTACCCAATCTTATTAATTCTGGTTCTTAAAGATATCTGGAAATCTCTCTAGTAAAATACTCTTACCTGGGTCAAGACTGTTGCCTCTTGCATAGAAAGCACTGACTTTCTAAGTGGAATTTTCATTCCACGCTTATCACCCTCCAATTCATTCTCAACATTAAGTCAGAATGAGCTTTTGAAAATCGCCTTACCTAAAACACTTGATGGCTTTCTATTGTGGTTAGAAGAATATGAAAAACTGTCTCAGGGCCTGCGTGATTGGTTTCTTGCCTACCTTCTATGCCTAACTTTCTTTTTCTGCCCTCCACCTTCCACTCTGGCTTTAGCTACACTAGACTTTTTCTGGTCCTCAAATATGACACACCTTTTTCTAGCCTGGAGACTGCACACATGTTGTTTCTCCTGGCTGGAGAAGGCTCATCCCAACTGGGTAATTATTATTCAGCCCTCGGGTATCATGTAAAATGTTATATCCTTGAAAAGGAACTCATTACATATCCCCCCATCCTAATTTATCTAGACCATTCATTTTACTTTTGTTCCAATTGTCAATTTATTGCCTCTTAGCCTCTGTTCAAATTTAACTCTTAAAATATGCTATGTAGTAAAGGACTGAATTCCTTGACATTTACAGTACATTTACATTTCTCTTTACATTTAGCATAGTGCTAAGATTTCTCAGTAGAGGGTGCTAGAGGAGCATTGCAGGGGGAAGGGATGATCTTGCTCTTTCCGCTGCAGCAGGGTGGGTACACAGTGTGAATGTATGAACAACCGGGGGTTCTTTGTCTCAGCCATGCACCCAGAACACGCTGTGCTCCTGAAACCTTGCAGCTCTAGTTTGGCCTGGTGATCACCTTCCTGCAACTCTCTCCATAAGGATTTCCTTTGCTGTAGGTCTCTAGCCCATTCTGATGTCCTGATCTCCTCTGCTCATTTCCCTCTTCCCCTAGGTTTCCTGCCCCCTTCCCCCACATAGTCCTTTCCAGACCACCACTTCTTGACAAAGTCTTTCTAAAAATGCACACCTCATGCTCTAGGCCTTCTGCCACCTGAGCACTCTCATTCTCATTGCATAACTATCTAGCAACAACCAGCTGAGATTTGCCTGTCTGATCTGTGCCTGAAAGGGTTGTTTTCTGTTTGTCCTGTGATTACAGATTTAGCAATGGCCTGGCAAAGTGGTGAACTCTGCCATCCTGTGAATTAAACTGATTTTCTAATGGGATATGAATCCCAAATCTTAGAGAGGGATCCCCCTTCCAAGTTGGTCATTTCTTGGGTATGCTGTCTTGGTGTCACATAGAATTTTCTTATATTTTATACTTATTCTTTTATTATAGTTTAAGAACTTTTTATATTGAACTTGCCTTGTTTAAAAGCATTCTATGAGGCTATCTCTTGGTTCCATCCAGACTGCTGCAATTTTCTTCTCCCTATCATTTTACTTATAGGACTAATCACAATTGTGTGATTATTTGTTAGTAACAGTCTCTTCCACAGAACTATAAGCACAAACAGGGCAGGCTTTCTGTCTGTTTTGATACCTTCCCAGTGCTTCCATAATGCCTGGCTAATAAAAAGCACTCAATAAATATTTGCTGCATGAATGAATACTGTGTAGCCAGGTTCATTTTCTGCTAATTTATTCTGTTATGTTCTTCTTATGCTCCATTAACTCTTCTGAGTCATTGCTATCTATTCTAAAGATCAGACATAATGTATTCTGGAATTTGGAGCACTACAAGGGATCTGATTTTGGCTCTTTATAAACAAAATAAAGCTGTATTCCCATCTCCATATTGATACCTATTGTGGCAATGACGATCACAGTTGCATTTGCTCATGATAACTTTTTCTTTTGTGTTCAAACTATAAAATCCACATTTTTTTTTCAAAAGAAAACTAGAGGCAATTAAAACATATTTTAACAGCAGCTATTCTTATCACTAAAGTTCCAACTTTTTCACATAAATTCTACCCCAGAACTTATACACTCAAATCCCAACAGGGCCTGGTGGGTAATTCAAATGACTGGGCTCAGGGTAAGGAAATGAGGAGTTGTGGGGATTATAGCCAATTGCACAGCACATGCTTCACCTGAATTCATTTAATTAAAAAATTTATGAAAACACTATGGAAGCCAAACACAACACCTGCAAGCAACACCAGTCCTATGACCACTGCCTGGCAAACCCAGACCTAAAATATTGGCTCCAGATGCCATCTGAATTTCAAAAACCAGGAATCTTCAAACAAGGGGTGCCTGACTTAAAGTTATTTTATGTATTTATTTTGCTGAAAATAACATTGAAATTTAGCTATTAATCAATATTATTAATAATATTGATACTATTTTATAAGAGGAAACCAAATTATCCATCAAAGGCAGTAAGTACATAATCTCAGGATACTAATCTCAAGAAAGAACAATTGGCAAGCTTAGATGAGCTGTTGTTGTGAAACTCACCTAGGCTACAAATCAAAATCAACTTGAAAGCTTAGAAAAGAATGCACAAATTCAAGGACCACTCTTGAAGATTCAGGAAGAGAGGAGACAGTTTGTCTGTGTACTTTGAAAAATTCTGGGGCTTCTGAAATAACACCTAGACTGGAAACTTCTGGTCTGTTCCACTTTAGCACTCAGACAACAGAAATCAAGGATAGATCATCATTTCTCATTCTAACTAGAGAAAATTTTTATTTCCCTGCACTGGAGGGAGACAAAGTTTTTCAGAATAGTTTATAGGGCTCACATTTCCATGAAAGCATAGCACCCCATGTTCTGTGTCACAAATAGATGGTTTATATTGTATGTACATATATATGTGTATATACAATACATATATATATTGTATATACATATATACACATTAAAATCTAGCTATTATTTAATACTATTAATACTAATTAATACTCTCTCTCTCTCTCTATATATATATATATGTACAACTTAAAGTTAGGAAACTAGGGTAATGTAAATTAAAGGAAGAAAAAATAAGATTGTGTAATGAATGAGGTAAAAGATCAAAACTCCTGCTTTGCACTCACAAATACTGTCAAAGTGAAGCCAGTAGGTGGTTCTTTAACAGATGGGAGAGTGTATGCACTTCTTAGGAAAAAAGTCCATCTAGCTCCTGCCAACACCCAGACTATTTCAAGAGAAACTGGAAATTGAGATGTCCACGTGAAACCTCTGTTTTTACCATGTTTGCATCTGATTAAAAAGTATTAGACACTGGATTTCATGGGGCTGATAAAACACTTATGCTGACAAAATGTGAACTGCACATTAGAACCACCTGAAATGCTTTCCCCATATGTATGGGCCTGGGCTCCATCCCAGACCTGCCAAATGAGAAACATCTGGGAGGAGAACTAAGCTTGCATATTTTGAGAATATTCCCTAGATGATTCCAATTTTCACCTATAGGTAGACATCACCTAAGCGATTTGGGAAAATGAAAGAAGGTATTCCAGGCCACTTCCCTGGTGCTCTGCCTCAGGAGCATTAATGACATCCGAGTCTTATCACACAGGGAACAGTGCCTGAGCTCTTCAGTCCTGGCCAGCTGTGCTCTGCCTTAGGTCCACCTTGATTTCTCTAAATATTCAGTTTGGTTCTTGTTTTCTTGGCTTTGATAAGAAAGTTTTCACAGAGAAGATGAAAATAGGAGCAGACAAGATAGAAACTTATGCCAGCCTTGATTTATGCAGCAGCAGAGAAAATAAATTATAATTCTCCAAGCTTTTGAAGAAAGAAAAAGTTTCCAAAAAGTCACAGAAGAGAACACTGTTTCCAGAATCCTGCAACATGGCACCATACAAGAGAATACTTGGGACACAGAATAGTTGATAGGACTGCTCTGCCTATTGCTTCTTGTTCTTCTCCCGGGGCCAGCCCTTACCCACACCCTCAGTTACCTTTTTATGTTTGTAATAGTGGAGACAGCCATCATGTTTCAGCACAAACCACCTCTTCCTCCAACCCTTCATGAAGCCAGAGTGAGTCCTCTTATGTAGATAGCCACGGCAGGTGGGCCGGGGGGTATTGGGACAGTGGCTGATGTCAGATCCCACCACCAAAGTCAAGATGTCTGGACCTAAAGGCATGAACATAAGATTGTTCAGTGGCTAGAAATCTTAAAAATCAACCGGAAGGACACTATTATTCAGGAGTAGACGAGGAAACAGTTATAGCTTTTAGAAATGGAATTAAATAGAATTTCAGCTTAGGAATGAAACAAATTCCTTAGCGATTAAAACCCTCATGTTTTTTTAGGAAAATACAAATTGATGAGGTAAAGTGACGTCCTCAAGGACTCACATCTTACAAGGGGTTGAGTCAGATACAGGACCCAGGTGTCCTGACTTCCAGGACACAGTTCTTTCATTCAACCATAATGACCTATTGGTTCTAATTATGAACTCAGTTCTGTTCATTTTCATTTTGGGCCTATTTGACCCAAGTAAGCAAAAGGGAAGATTTAAGTCACTGCTTGAATAAGCAAAAGGGAAGATTTAAGACACTGTTTCCAATAGTGTCTCTCATCAAAATCGATTACCAACCCTTGAACTTGGAAGTAGAAGAAGATCTAGGAGGGCTAAAGTGCTTCCCCGCCACCTACATATCTGACTTAAGCTAAGAGTTTAACCCTGAGCTTCCAGATTCCTATCTTCTCTTTCTTAGAAAGCCTTTGGTGCTTGGATTTAATGGCATCTTCTTCCCCATAGGACTGGATGGTGTGTAGCTTGGGGAAATTGTCCCTGTCCCTGTTAATATGAGGGCATTGTGCTTTGATGCTGCCAATGTGGACATAGACTTTTGTCACACACCTATCTTATGATGTCTCAAGACAACACTCTGAATGTCACTCGGACAGACAGCAACCCTGACATGCTTTGAAGTCTGCAAATGGGGTATGACTTCATTTACAATTCCTCTGAGAGAGAGGCCACATCCCTGAAGGGGGACATTTGGCCTTGGCTGCGCTGACTTCATCATGATGTCTGACATTGAGATTACCGATCTGTTTAGAGCTGTCTATGGAAATGGGGGTCAGTGAGGAGACTCCTCTTCTATAAATGACAAGCTCCAACCCAGGGGATCATTCCTGGCTGAGCCACATGGCCCTGAAAATAAAGATTTGTCCCAGAAAGGCTGACACAGTCTTAACTTTAGCAGCACGCAACGCACCTTGGTAATTAAATAACTCTCTGTGTGTCAAGATAATTCTTCATTGCCATGTAAATACATTTTAATTTATTGAACTGCCCTTAAGCTCCTGTCAAAAACACATCCAAAAAAATTAGAAGAAATGCTCCAGATTGACCAGCAACCCACAAATGTCTTTGTCTTTGGACTTCAGTCCCCAAAGAACTGCACTCCTGGACTAATATGCATAGTTGACACATCTGCCAATTTATTTATGTACTGTTGCAGTGGGTGCCCCTTGAGGTCATTTTCCTCTTGCTTACATAGTCTGCATATGGGTTTCTCTGATACTGATCAGGCCAAGCTTGTATTTCAGTCTGGCCATAAACAAAACTTGGTGCACCACAAAAAATTCTCTCTGGGGTAGGGATACAGATGGCCCTGCTGCAGCATAGTGTCATCATAGTAGAAGAAAGTTTTTCACAAGCAGGTTTCGGACATAAGCCGGATGCATCGGGAGTTTCTGAGTTCCAAACAGCTGCCAGGCAGTGGTGGTTTTTATACTATTCATCCAATTCTATCAGGGCCCAGAGAACTTGGATCTGACATTCACAGAGAAGCTTAATTTAAGATTTTAGACAATTGATGTTACCTTCAAAAAAAGTTATTAGTATAGTCATTGTAATGTGTGTGTGTGTGTGTGTGTGTGTGTGTGTTAAAAGAACTAAATTGTCAAGTAGGAATGTTTAAAGTCTCCTGGTTTTGTTATCATATATTTATTAACTTACTGGGAGCTTAAAATTAGAAAGTGTCTTTAGTTCAATGCTTTAAAAATCAAATAAGAATGCAAATCAGCCAGTGGTTTGCTAAACTGCATATCCTCACTCAGTTGGTCTGCATGAGGCTTGAGATTCTGAGTTTGTAACAAGCTCTCAGGTAATGTTTGACTACAATTTGAGTTGCAAGTTCTCAGGTACCTCTCAGTTTCCAAGAGGCTCTGTTATTTAGCACAGTCTTTGCCACCAACTTCCCTATTTCTTCCTTTCCTTGATTATGATTTACCATTCTCTGCCTGCTTCCATTTTCAGTCCCTATATTTCTCAGCAACAAAACTAGCTCCCTCCTTTGCTTCTTCTTCTATGTATCTCTCCAACCTGAAGAATTACTTTCCTTTTCTGGACATCTTGCTTGTTTTTTGGTGGTAGGTGGGATGAAGGATGTGGGAAAGTAAATATCTGCAGCCTGAGATTAAAGAGTCAAGAGAACTTCCAGTTTCATTAGATGAAGAAAAGCTTGGAAACTAAACCTTTAGCAAATTTAGCTCTTTAGTGATGATGTTCTTCAAAACAAAAGCTACCCAGCAAGCTCTTCTTCCCTAGCACTTTGGCCCAGAGCTTTGAAAGTAAGGAGTTGTGTGAGGTTATTTACAGCTACAGGAAAGAGAAAAATAATTTCTTTTTCTAATTCACACTTTCTCCTTGGCTTACCGTCTTCTTATTATGCCACCAATCTTAAACTGTGTCAGAGTCACACCTCTGCTGTCAGACAAACTCTACCACCCTCGTCAGCACAGAGGAGAAATGTGCAAGACAAGTACTGTCCCTGAGGGCTTGCTGTGTGCTTCACAGCTGAGGGCCTGGCTTCCAGAGATACCTGTGTGCTTGATTTTAGTGAAGCCTGCACTTAGTGAAGCAAAGTAACCCAGAAGGTGGTGAAGGATTCTGGACTGATTAAGCTTTACTGTGTTCCTTTACTCTTTTTTATTGTTGATTAAATCTTCTATTTGAGTCTGCAAATATATATTAAATCTTCTCTTTGAGTCTGCCCTATACAAGTATAGAAAAGCCAAAAACAGAAAGTAAGGGACACCTAACTAAAACAAATATTCACACAGAGACATTGTCATCACAATGTGACACTGAGCACTTTAAAAAAAATTTGTTTTGGTCTTCCTGTCAGTAAAATCAAGGTATTTTAACAGGTGTGTGTGATCAGTACTATTAAATAGTAATCCTAATTATAAAATTAGACTTTCTAATCTTCTATAAATCCCCTTTGTCACGCTAGTCTGGGGAGGTACCACTGGTGTTGGAGTCTTAAGAAAACACACTTGTAATCATAGGGCCACAGCATGTCTCTGAGATGCCGTGCTCTGATGCAGGGCTGTTTGTGAAAGAATCATCAGGGAGAGTTAATTCAAATTACAAATGTGCAGACCACGACCACTAATTTCTTACCAGTGACTAATATACAGCTAGATTTAGGATTCAACATGTGGCAAAAAGTGATTTGATGTTCACAAATATAGATCAATTCCATGGTCACGTATATCCTTCTTGTAGACCCACCCTCCCCAGTAATCCTGTTTTGTTCTGCCTTCTTTCACCATTACTGCCTATATATTTTAGAATGTAGATGGGGCTAAAGTTATTTTTTGGGTTCCCCTTTCTTGAGAAAGACTATCTGCCTATATCAGGAAGCATTCCTCTGTTGCTGTTGAACTCTAGTGTTCTTGATTCTCAGATCAGCTGATTGTCACACTCAGATTCTGGCACATGGTTCTCTGCAAGACCTCATTTTGCTTTATTTCATTTTGTTTTGTTTTACTTTATTTTCTCGTCAGGCATTCTGTCCCTTACAAAACACACTGACTGTGGTATTTTGTGTACATTGTTTTATTTTTAGAAACAATATTATGCTAAGATGTAGTTCTATATCTTTCTCTCTCACCCTGCTTTGTTTCTCCCCTCCTCTCTCTTTTATTTTCAACTCACAACCATGTTTTACAAATCTATCCATGGTCCTGGCTACCGTTGTGAAGAGAGGTGTAGAAACGCAGAGTGTGAATCTCTTGTGGTTTACTTATCCTTTCATCTAGTGATGGCCACCCAAACTGCCTGTAATTCTTTTCTACTACATAGAACACTGCAACAAATGCCCTTGCGTGGGTCCCTTTGCAAGTTTTCTTTGGGTTGTTCACACTAAAGTGCAACTGCTAGGACATAAGATTTATAGGTACTGCCCTAGTCACTGCAAGATTGCTCTCTGAAATGCCTGCATCTTCTAAGGAGAGAACGAGGAGGCTCATTTCCTTATCCTTTCTGTCTTGTATTTCTATTATTTCAATCGTTGTTGTTTTTTCAAATCTTTTGGATCTAAACTATCATCTTGCTGATAAATTGCATTTCTTTGATTACTGACAAAGTTATTCTCCTACCAATTTCTTTTATTGACGATGCTTTTAACTTTACAATAGAAGTCTTTAATATAGCTGAAGTCCACATTTGTAAAAGGTATAAAGGTTAAGCCATAATGCTTGAATCCAGCTAACTTCTCTATAACAATGAGATTTTTTTAGAAATTTTGTCCTCTCCTCATTGTTTTGTGGGGTTATCTTTTCCATATATAAAGTTTTGATTAATATTTGAGTATGTTTTTGAGCCTTCTGGTCCTTTTCTTTCCCCTAGTCTTTAGCTGTTCTGTGGAAGAACTCCACCTTTTATTTATTGTTATGGATTTGTAATATATCTTAGTATCTGATATGAAAAGTCCTTTGCTATGGCTTGCCTTATTTACAAATGACATAGTTATTTGCAGATATTTAGTCTTCTACATATTTGAGGATAAGTGTGTCAAGCTGCACACAATTTATTAAAAATTTATTGGAATATTATTGAATTTTTATATTCATTTTGGGTGAATTAAGATCTTTACAAATTTTTCCGCCCCATTTCCAGGTATTTAAATTTTCTTTTATGTACCTTGAGGGAATCCTAAATATTTTTTTCCATGAAATTCTTGTGCATTTTTTTTGTTAGATTAATTCTTACTTACCCTATAATTTGGTTGATAATGTTAATCATATATAATTTTCTTTTTGGTTTTTACTGATGTAAGCAAATACTACTGATTTTTATTATGTGATCTTGGTTTGGTCAGTCTTTGTCT